CACAGAGGAGGACAATGCAATTTGCCTTGTCACGTGTCAGGTGGGGAGGACAAGGTTTTAGTTGTGAAGTGTCTCCATAGTGTGTACTCAGAATGGACATATTCTGGAATGCTGTGATGGGGAGTATGGACTGAGAGTCATGACTGGCTGAGGAGATTTCGTGCAAGTTCTTGGCTTCTCCTTCCCAGCTCCAAAGGACCTCTGATGCTGGCCATGGGACCCTGGCCAATTATAACAGTCACCTGAAAACAAGTGGTGTGATCCTGTTGCATTTTGTAGGAAATGCCACACACACTGAGTTTAAAGACAACAGGGTGAACAGTTACGGTGAGAAGGGGGAAGAGGGCAACCTGTGGCAGGAAGTGAGAGCACCTGGACACCCCAGGACTGTGCTTCTCTTCTTTCACCTCTGTGTTACAAGCTGCAGAGGGGTGGTCTGGCCACTTAGACTGTGGATGCTGCAAAACTCCCTTTTCTTTATGTGTTTCTTGTACAGCTCGTAGTAGTGAGTTTGCTTATGGTAGCCAGGTGGAGCCTGCTCTGTAGTTCATCAAGCCATGGCTGGTGACAATTCAGAGGGCTTTCAGGCATGTCCAGGAGGTCGGGTAGAGGTGCTCTTCTTTAAGGGACTCATTCTAGGGTTGATGTGGAGTTAGTTGAGAGTGTTAGTTAAGATCCTCCTAATAGAGGCAAAACTATTAAAAGTAAGTTTAGAAGTGAGTGGGTCACTTCTTCAGAGAAGGTGTGTGGGCTGCGGTGTTCCAAGTCTGTTCAGTGGCACAGCTATATCATTAAGTCACAGCATTCACCGTTTTCTTGAAATCTTCAAGGCACTGACATAGGCTTTCACTGGGCCTCTCGTCATGGGATTTACCTTAGGTCCAGGCTGTGGTCACAGCAATGTCAACAGCAGTACTTTGCCTGGTAAGAAGATCCTTCTCAGAAACCCCTGACATCCTGCTTTCCAGGCCCCGTGGCCAACCCCTCTGTCTGTTAGGGTGGCTGTAGCAGCATTCTCCATCCCTGGGGTGGCAGGCGTGACATCTCCACCAAGGATGCTGGAGTTGGGGATGAGGAGGGTGGGTACCATCAAAGTGTACCCTAGAGTAAC